CATAACCGAGCCCAGGATGGCGGATACGGCTGTGTCCCCTGTGTGCCGCGTGGCTGCAGGCACGGCTTCGCCCTCTCTGGCCTCAGCCCTAGCGAATGGGGCTCGTGGAAGGTCCTTCGTAGATAACAGATGAAAGGCGGCGGCGTGAGTCGGACCCCTCGTGTTGGAGGGAGCCCTCACAAGTGTTCATTCGCTTCCTTTCCCTGGGGAAGGACAGGGCTTTGGGGCTCAGAGGTTTCATGTGTGGCCAAGGGAGGGACGACAGGCGTGCCTGCACACGCGGTCTGTCTTCCTGCGGACCCTCCCCAGCTCCCACCCCCGGCGGCCCATCTGCATGGTCAAGGATGCCACTCCCAGCCACCTCCTCCGGAGACACTTTCCCTGTCCCCAGAGAGAAGTGACCGCATCCCCCACACCGCCTGGCCACCAGGACCCCCACACGGAGGCTTCCACAGATTGCTCAGGGGCCTGGGTCCGAGTGGCCATTGCTGGTGCCCGGCAGCACCCTGGCATGGGAAGGCATGCAGTGCGCCTGTCCTCAGCACGCCGGGGCCTCTGCCCCACTGCTGTCCCCACAGTCTCTCTATGGCCCACGTGGCTGGAAGCGGGCATCTCGCCGTGGTGGTGGGCCTGGCGAGGCTGCTTGCTCTCACTCTGCCTTCCTGCCAGGCAGCCAGAACCAAAACAAAACATTCTGTTCCTCCAGAAAAACACAAATAAATAAGTCAGAAGCGCTCTCCTTTTCCCTGTCACCAGCCCCACCTCCTGGCTGATTCACCAGCAGGGAGGGCTGCGGCGGGGGTGGGGGATGGGGGAGCACCAGGCGCTCTGCATCTGCGTGAAGCCCCTTTGGGGAGTCACAGCGGCCCAGTCCATCTCGACGGGCTGCTGGCGTGTGCTGACCTGTCTAGGACACGGGAACATCCAGCCTCTTGGCTGAGATCTGGCGCAGTCCCCCGTGGCACAGAAGTCCCGGTCTTGTAGATGCACCAGGGGCTCCAGAGCCTCTCAAGGTCTTGACACCCATGTGGTCTGGGACAGGTGACTTCCCCAGCCTGGGCTCCAGCCCCTCCCTCCACCCATGGTGAGGATTCCTGGGCACCACGGGTGTCTTGCCCAGGGGAGCCTGTGATATCGTGTGGCCAGAGCCCCAAAGCACAGGACAGGAACAGAGGTGGACTCTACCCGGGTCCCGCTGCACACGCAGGCCCTCCCCACCCCATTCAATGACTCTAGACTTCAGCCCAGCCTCCTGCTCCCCAGGGTTCATCGTCAAGGCCCACCCTCACTGGGCCAGCCCCACCCGGACAGCCGGCCCTGCTTCAGCTCCCTGGGCTTGGGTCCCCTCCCCAAGTCCTTGAACCTGTGCAGCTGGGAAGAAACTTGCATGACCTTTGACCACGAGTTCTCCAGCTCCCCTCAGTGGGGTCCAGGTCCAGCCCAGGCCGTTCCCCTGTGCCCTGCCCTGCAGACACGCCGTGTCCTCTGGGGCCTTATCCCAGGCATGGCCCATGCAGCGCAAAGCCAGCTAAAGCCCTCCAGGGACCCTTGATGGGCTCAGAAGAAAGTCTCTCCACCCCACCCCCGAGGCTAGACAGGCCCCCCTGCCCCCACCAGCTGTTCCTCGCCTGGTTCCCCTTGCTTTTCCACTGGGCTGCAGAGAATTCTGCCCAGAGCGCTCCTTCCTCGGGTGCGTGGGGCTCCCACCTTCCTAAACACTGTCAGGTCTCGAGAATCGAGCATCGCGCCTCCCTGGGCAGGAGCAGCTAGGACAGGAGAGGCCTGTCCCCCTCTGTGTGGGCTCCGTACTCACAGCTGTGGGGAGGGAAGGTGGCGAGGGGCCTGCTGGAGAATGACAGGGGTGGGGTCTCCCCAGGGCAGCAGCATAACTGGAGATGATTCTGTGCCCCAGGAGCCATTGCTGCTTACCGCCGGGTCGGTGGAGGCCGTCGGGAGGTTACTAGACATCCCGCAACGCACAGAGCGGGCCCCACATGGAGCATGACCCGGCCCCGATGTCTGCGGTGCTGGGGTGGGAAGCCCCGCTCAGGGGTCCCCTCCCCAGTCGGATCTGCCTCTGTTGGTAGAAGCTCCAGAACGACTAACGTGATTCCAGACCATCTGGGCTGGCTGCTGGCTCTGCCACTGACCGCTGCCTTCATCAGGCAAGTGACTCCACCGCCCTGTGCTCATCTGTAAAATGGGCTGAGGACGGGCTGCCGGTGGCCACAGTGGCATGAGGAGAAGGCTGGGCGCGGAGACGCAGCAAAATGATGTGCTCCCTGAACACTTCTTAGGGCTAAGGATTCAAATGTAAGTTAAAAATCTGATCCTTGATGCTCCCATTTTCCCCAGGGGAGGCCTTCATTTTGCAGCCCGGCTCTTCAGCAGCAGCCGCCAAGACCCCCTGTGCTGTGGAGTGGAGCGTTCCGTGTGAAATCCTGTGCAAATATGCAGATTATAGAAACCTGTGGGCTTCAGCATGAGGATCCCAGACACCAGTCACCAGACCTTGGAGAAGCCTGGTGGTTTTGCCAAGCCTCGTCTGGCATTCAGCCAGAACTTGCAACACGACAGGGCCCTCGCCCCAGTCCTGGCACTACCCTCCTCCTCCAGGGAATCAGTTCCTTGTCTTAGAAGAGGCTTGGGTCAAATCCCAGACCTGATTCCAGCCCTGATGTGATGGACAGGGATTGCTGAGCGACTTCACACACAGAATTATTCTAAGGGCTGAGCAGATGGCAAGAGACTGAGGGGAAGCACCCATGCATTTGAGGAAGGCAGGCTGGGGAGCTGGCCTCGGTGGGAGGTGGGGAGGTTTGGAAGAGGCAGCTTCCCCCTGAGTGAGCGCAGCATGGTGGCAAAGCCCTTCAGCCCCAACATCAGCCAGAGATCGAGGCTCACACCCCCAACCCACCACCTCCCTTCAACAAATGCGCCGTTCAGGAAGGTTTTTCCTTATCATGAAAAAATACATCTGCCCCCAAAGCTCAGCCTCATGCTTATTGGGAAAATAACTTGAAGCATCACATTCAAATCAGAAGAAGAAAAGACGCCTGACAATTCTAAAGGCTGTTTTAGAGGCACTAGCCAACACAATCGGACAAGAAAAAGCAGTGAGGCACAAAAACGGCAAGGTAGGGCGATAAAATTATCATCGTTTGCACACGGAATAACTGGAAACCTAAGAGAACTGAAAAAAAATAAGGAATTTCAGTAAGGTGGCTGAGTGCAAAATTTCTGTCTCAAAATCATCGCTTTTAACAATAGTCAGAGGATATTGTGGAAGGAAAGACCAATCGCAACATGAAAAGCAACGACTTGAAATTTAGTGCAAAGCGTATGTCCGCTATCTACACGAAGAAACCTCTAAACTGCTAGGAAAGAAAACTTGAACAAATGGAAAGACATTTGTGTAGAAACGTTCAGCGTCATGAAAAGTTAATCCTTGGATTAACCTAGGAATTCAATATCATCTCAGTAAAAAATACTCACTGGATTTTTTCGGGGGAGGGATCCTGAACAGCTAATGCTAAAGTCTGTATGACAGAGGTGCCAGGGAGAGCCTGCTGAGACATTAAAACACGTTAAAAGTCACAGCAGTCAACACAGCGAGGGACCGGCGTATACCCAGAGCAACGGAAGCCAAGTACGGATCACGCTCCACCTCAGTCCTCAAATTCAGTATATGAAGGTATTTGGTAAGTTTGCATTTCATGTCAGGGGAAAAGAGAAGGTCAATTTAATAAATGGTGTTGGAATAACCAGCTACCCGTTCTCAAAAAATAAAATAAGATGTAAGTCCTACTTTAAAACTTTCATCAAAGTAAATTCCAGAGAGTTCAAATACTTAAAAACCAAAAATTAAAATGTAAAGGAATTAGGAGAAAACATGGTGGCATTTCTAATGACCTCAGAGCAGGAAAAGCCTTTCTTAGTGTGCCGTCAAAGCCAGAAGCCATAAAAGAAAAACAAAATTGGTAAAATGTGATTACATAACAATTAAACATGAGGAAAAAGCACTATAAAGTCAAAGTCACACTGAGGAAACATTGGTATGAAAGCATCCAACAATGAGAAGATGGGAAGATATTTACAACTTATCATATTTCCTTCATATATAAAAAGCACCCATAAATAAATAAGAAAAAGACCAAAAATTCAATAGAAGAATGGCAAAAGACATACACAGCTAGCTCACGGTAAAAGAAACACAAACGTCTCCAGACATGTGAAGAGACGGCCAGCATCACTCATAATACAGAAAGGTGTGCTGTTTTCAGACCCCGTGACTCGACTTAGCGCGTTCTCATGACTTTTCTACAAACTCTTTCTCTTTTTCCACACCTGTGGTCCCCTCCCTCAGGTCCCTGATCCCAATGTGTTTTAATCACCGTAAGGAAAAGAACTGCATGGGATGAATCTCTGGGTCAATGGTGCCAGTCACTACTTCTTGAATAAGCGAAGAATGAAGGGGCTGGGCCCGGCAGATGACAGGCCGAGGCACCTTCTATGCCTGAGCTTTCCGCATCCTTAACCTCACTCGGCTTCCGCGGTAGCCCTGCAAAACGACTATTCTCTGCCCATTTCTTTCTTCCTTTTGAGATGGAGTTTCACTCTTGTCGCCCGGGCTGGAGTGCCATGGCGCCATCCCTGTTCACTGCCACCTCCGCCTCCTGGGTTCAAGTGATTCTCCTACCTCAGCTTCTTGAGTCGCTGGGATTACAGGCACCTGCCACCGCACCCGGCTAATTTTAGCAGAGACAGGGTTTCACCAGGTTGGCGAGGTTGGTCTCGAACTCCTGACCTCATGTGATCCGCCTGTCTCGTTCTCCCGAAGCCCTGCTCATCCAGACTCTCCCAGACCCCTTCCAGGCCCATCTAATCTGGTAGTGGTCACCCAGCCGCCTCCCGAGGGGATGGGACTTTGGGAGGCAGGTCGCCTTGCCTGGGGCGCAAGGCGGTGGGGCTGTGTCCCCCGAAACCCCCGGGGCACTCACTTGTGCATGTAACCCTCGGAGCCGGCCGTGAGGTTCGCCTGCGTCACCGCCTGGAACTCCGTCTCGTTGCAGCAGTATTTGAAGACCGTGTTGTTATGGTGGCAACAGAGGATGAAGGTTTTGTTGTCGGAGAGCCGGGGGCAGTGGAAGCCGAAGTGGTAGCGGCCTTTGTGGTCTGTGTACGGTTCGCAGACCCGGAAGTGTGCAGACAGGGCTGGAAGACAGAGTCGCCGGGCTCAGACGGGCCCCTTGCCAGTCCGTGGAGGCCGAGAGGAAAGGGGACTGGCCTGCTCTTCTAGGGTCCTGCCTGCTTCTTCCCTCCCATGGACGCCTCTGTGGTCCACTGTGAGCCTCCCCTCCGGGGTCCCATGACCCCCGCCCCCCTCCCTGGTTATACCTCTCCCAGCCCCGGTTCCACTCTCTGTGTCACCCAGACTAGGGGGTCGTGGAGCGCAGGGCTGGCTCTCCTGCCTCGGTGGACACGCGTGACGTGCAGCAGGCACTCAACCAGGAAATCAGCCTTCAGTGAGCACCTACTATATGCTTCACAGGCCCATCTCGTTTGACTCACACAGCCAAGAAAATTTGAGATCCCACTTTACAGATGGAGAAACTGAGGCTCAGCGACCTAAGGGGACTGGCCCGAGGTAAGTGTTGGAGGGGCAGGAATGGAACCCAGGCCTGGATCTGAAGTCCGAGGCCCTCTCCAGTCGTCCGTCGATAGCTCTTTGTTGGCAGGTGGGTCGTGGTGGGCCTGTTGCCAAGCCCAGGCTGGCCCGGGCGGGGGGCAGTGGCTGGCACTGGTGTGAGGACCTCTTGGGTACCTCTTGTGTCAAAAACAGCAGGCCCTCCGTGCCTTGGCTTCTGCTAAACGAACACCCGAGACCTCAAGTTCCCCGAGCGCCTGCCTCGGTCACCCCTGCCTCAGCCTGGAGCCCTCCCACCCCTGGGCTCCCGGGCGGGGGTCCCTCTTCCGTCCCCAGTGCTACTGCAGGGCCCCAACGACATTTACGAGACGTGCCACTGGTGACAGACAGGACCGAAAGCCCGAACAAACGTTAACAACGGAAAAACCCGAGAGCCGCCGTCCCGGGCTTCGTTAGTCTCTTCATAAAAGAGATCGCTGCATCTCATTTGTGTCGCTGCAAAGGGGCTTCGCCGGCCGAACGCGCTCCTTCCGCCACACAGGCCCTGGCCTTGCACCCCACACCCGGGCTGCCGCAGGGGAGCCCCAGCCGGGCTGGGCGGGCAGGTGGGCAGGCGGGCGTCACGCGCCGGGGGCTGAGGCTGCCCGGGGGGCGGGGGAGTGTGAAATGCTACGTCCCTTCCCCACACAAAGCGCTCTCTTCTGTGGGGATGGCATGACCACTGCGAGGGAAAGGTCCCAGCTTTTGGGGGGGCCGCAGGAGCTTCTGGGTGCTGGTAGTGGGCTTGCAGGGCTCCCCAGACAGCAAAGTCCAAGCCACGCCCGGGCCGGGGGTCTGGGGGCCACCCAGCGGCTCTCCCCAGCCCGGGGGCTCCCGGTGGCTCGGCTCCCCTGGTCATCCTCAACCTTCAGAAGGAAGAGGCCACCCGCTGTGGATGCAGGGGTCATGACGCCCCCAGCAGACGACTGTCCCGCTCCATCGAACCGATTCCCACGGGACAGGGGGACCGCAGCACTGCGCGGCTCAGAGCAGCAGCTCCCCCAGCGTGGCCCCCCAGCTGCCTCGAGGGCACCCCGGAGGTCTGGGCAGAAACACAGCCCTCAGGCCAGCTTCTGAGTCGGAAGCTCCGGGGCAGGCCCTGCCATCCGTCCGGGCAGGCGCCTCAGGGGCTGCTGATGGGCGAGGGTGTAGGACCCACTGGCCTAGAGGCAAGGGGCAGAGGCAGCTGGCCCGTCCCGGCCACCGTCTGGGTCACCGCCCAGGTCCGTGAGGACCCCGCTCACGCTCAGCGTGTGGGCAGCTGGGGAGGGACCAGGCACACGTGCTGGTCAGAAAGTCCAGCTCAGGCCCTGCGACCAGCCGTGAGGCTGCCCCAGGACTCAGGGCGGGAAGGGACAGAGCGGCCGGGCAGCATGGAGGAGGCGGCCTTTGAGCTGGGCCTCGAGGGACTGGGAGGAGCCTGATGTGCCGAGCTGGGGGCGGGGGAGGGCAGGCCCGGCCAGGTGAGGGGATGGGAAGGGTCCTACTCAGTACCAGCACCCAGCTCACCCAGTGCCAGCACCCAGCTCACCCAGCGCCAGCACCCAGCTCACCCAGTGCCAGCACCCAGCTCACCCAGTGCCAGCGCCCAGCTCACCCAGTGCCAGCACCCAGCTCACCCAGTGCCAGCGCCCAGCTCACCCAGTGCCAGCGCCCAGCTCACCCAGTGCCAGCGCCCAGCTCACCCAGTGCCAGCGCCCAGCTCACCCGGCCACCGCGAGACGGTCAGAGCCACAGGCTTTGAACATTTGGGAATGATGAGGCCTCCCCGGCTGCTTCCCCGGAGCCAACAGAGCCCTGGGCTGGGAGCCAGGACAACAGGGGACTGCCTGGGCCATTGTGACCTCACTGGCCTCCTCTGTTCACTGATAAAGACTCATGGTCTCTCGGGGGCTTGGGGGCTCCCAGGGGCGTTCTGTGAACGGCTAGGCGCAGCCCCCCCCGAGCTGGAGGCCGGGCGTGCATCGGGCAGCGAGGGCGGCGTCTTCGCGCCTCTGCTCTGGGCGCGGCGTGACTCCAGGCCAGCCCCAGCGGGGCAGGGACGCTAGCGACAGCCGCATGTGGGGCCCAGGCCTCCACCGTGAACACAGCCCCGCGTGACAGCTCCGTGTAACTCCTGCACCTGGAGGGCCCTCATTCGACGGCCGAGGCGTGACCTCGGGCCGGCCGCTTTCCTTCCGAGTCTCACCTCCCTCGTTTGTAAAATGGGCTGAGTGGCCGTGAGGACCAGGTGAGCCAAAGCAAGGGCAGCACCTGGGGGGCGGAGAGCAGCCGGGTGGCCCCCAGACCCCCTGGCCTGGGCGTGGCTTTGGCTTTGCTGTCTGGGGAGCCCTGCCCGCACCCCCAGACGCCCTCACAGCCTCCCTCGGAGCTGCCCCTGCTGTCAGTGACTCTGTTAGAACACGAGGAGGTGCAGAGACACACGGAGACAGAGACAGAGACAGACAGACAGAGACATACAGAGACCGAGAGACCGAAACAGAGACAGACGCGGACACAGAGAGACAGACAGTGACGGATACAGACACAGAGACACAGAAAGACAGATGGAGACAGAGACAGAGAGACAAAGACAGAGACAGGCAGAGAGACAGAGACAGAGATAGACGCAGACACAGAGAAATAGACACAGACACGGAGACACAAACACAGAGACAGAGGGACAGAGATAGATCGAGACAGAGAGACAGAGACAGAGATACAGAGACAGAAAGAGAAGGAGAGACAAAGAGACACAGAGAGACAGAGACCCAGAGACACAGAGAGACAGGGAGCAGAAGCCGGAGCGCCGGAGAGGGCTCCTGTGGGGGGCGGGCCCTGGCTAGCGTGCAGAGCTGCCCTCGTCCTTGGGCTGCTCAGCTCTAGAGGGAGGCGCAGGGGGTCCAGTCTGTGGCGATCATCCTTGTAACTGGGGGAGCAGGAGCCTGCCCGTGACCTAAGCTGGAAACCCAGGGACAGCCCAGGAGGCCGGTCGGGCTACGATCCACTAACTGCGTGGTCCCAGGCAAGTCAGCTCCCTCTCCAGGCCTCAGTTTCCTCACCTATAAAATGGGATGACTGGGACCCTGCCTGACTGTCTTGCAGGGGCGAAGGAGAGAACGTGAGTCAGGGCTTCTCCCAAGGGTCCTGGCAGCCAGGTGAGCTCCACGGCACGCTCAGGGCTATGGTGCGCAATGGAGACAGACAGAGAGAGAGAAACAGAGACAGAGACAGACAGAGAGACAGAGACAGACAGAGACAGAGGCAGAGAGACAGAGAGACAGAGACAGAGACAGATAGACAGAGACAGAGGCAGAGAGACAGAGACAGAGAGACAGAGACAGAGGCAGAGACAGAGACAGAGAGAGACAGACAGAGACAGAGAGACAGAGACAGAGGCAGAGAGACAGAGACAGACAGAGAGACAGACACAGAGAGAGAGACAGAGACAGACAGACAGAGACAGAGAGACAGAGACAGGCAGAGACAGAGACAGAGAGACAGAGACAGAGACAGACAGAGAGACAGAGACAGAGACAGAGAGACAGAGACAGAGAGACAGAGACAGACAGAGACAGAGAGACAGAGACAGAGGCAGAGAGACAGAGAGACAGAGACAGAGACAGAGAGACAGAGACAGAGACAGACAGAGACAGAGGCAGAGAGACAGAGACAGAGACAGAGACAAAGGCAGAGAGACAGAGATAGACAGAGAGACAGAGACAGACAGAGACAGAGAGACAGAGACAGAAAGAGACAGAGAGACAGAGACAGGCAGAGACAGAGACAGAGAGACAGAGACAGACAGAGAGACAGACAGAGACAGAGACAGAGAGACAGAGACAGAGGCAGAGAGACAGAGAGACAGAGACAGAGACAGAGAGACAGAGACAGGCAGAGACAGAGACAGAGAGACAGAGACAGAGAGACAGAGACAGACAGAGAGACAGAGATAGAGACAGAGACAAAGAGACAGAGACAGGCAGCGACCAACCACATCAGCTCCTCACCAGAGGGCACCAGTAAGGTGGGGGAACTAAAGGGAAGCCCCTGTGCGCCCCAGAAGCCCAGACGGGCCAGCACGAACCTTAGGAAGGGACCCCACCCTCCCCACGCCGCCCGCGCCGCAGAGTCCACGGGTTTTACCTGCAGAAAACAGCAACGGGAAGAGGACGGCGAGCGCGTTCCGGGACTGCTGGCCACAACTGGTCATCGTTTGGCTGGCATTGATCCGTCCAGAGCTGCCTGTTCAATGAGATCCAGGAGAGGCTGGGTGTGGGCTACCTCGCCTGACACCGGCTTCGCTGCCCACGGGGGGCGGGCGGGCAGGTGGGCAGCGGGCAGGAGAGGGAGTTTGCCAGGAGCAGGGGCCAGGCACGGACGACGGAGACGCCGCTCTCCAACTTCCTTTCCAGAATCAATGACCTTCCCCCACAAGCCAACTGTCACCTCCTTTTCTTTTCATGGCAAAATGGGACTTAATCAAAGGAGGACGGATGGCTCAGGTGGTAGAAATGACCAGTGGGCAGGCGCCAGTGGGCAGGCGCCAGAGCTGCAGAAGTGAAGATGCCCAGGCTGGCTCGGCCACCCCGGGGGCTTCCAGGATCCGGGTCCCCTGCCGTGTCGCTGGGGTGAGGGGGTCCATGAACCCCCCACAAGTACGCACAGAGCCAGGCAGCTTCCCAGGCACGAGGCACGCAACGGTGCATGCAATAGAAATGGTTCCTCCGCGGAGTCCCCGTGTTCTCCCCGGGAAGGCCGACGACACGCAGACACACGCATGTTTAAAACGCGCCGGGCTCCTGAGCACACACCCTAAGGTGGGGAAAGCAGGGACCCGAACAGATACACACTCGCTCGCGTTCCCAGCGGCATCCTGCACTTTGGTCAAAGGTGGAGGCGACCCACGTGCCCCTCGAGGGAAGGGTGGTCAACCGTAGGTGCGACCCCTCACACGATGCGCATTTCTCTCCCTACAGAAGACGGTAAACACGGTGCCCGCTCCAGCGGGGGGACCCCGAGGCCATTACGCTCAAACTAGGCACGGAACACACGGCGAGAGTCCACCGACCTGGGGTCTCCAGGGGAGTCACATTCACAGGGAATTTGTCATCGGGTCAAAAGCAGAGTGGAGGGTGCCAGGAGCTCAGGGGAGGCGGAAGGGGAGTGAGCGTTTCGTGGGCGCAGAGTTTGCGTTTGGGAAGATGAGACAGTTCTGGAGCTGAGGTGAGGGCCGCACAACACCGTGGATTCGCTCAGTACCACTGACCGTCCGCTTCAAAAGGGTTAAAGGTGGCCGGGCGCGGTGGCTCACGCCTGTAATCCCAGCACTTTGGGAGGCTGAGGCGGGTGGATCACCTGCGGTCGGGAGTTCGAAACCAGCCTGACCAACGTGGTGAAACACCGTCATTCCTAAAAATATAAAAATTAGCCGTGGTGGCAGGGCGCCTGTAATCACAGCTACTCAGGAGGCGGAGGAAGGAGAACTGCTTGAACCCAGGAGGCGGAGGTGGCAGTGAGCCGAGATCGCCCCACCATTGCACACCCCAGCCTGGGCCACAGAGCTAGACTCCGTCTCAAAAAAAAAAAAAAAAAAAAAAAAAGTCTGGTTAAAGTAGTACGTTCCCTGTAATGTATATTTTACCACAATAAAAACAATTTTTTTTAATGTTATAAAGGGAAGTAAAGCAAGGTGTGGCTGGGGGTGCTGCAGAGAAGGGAGATGGGGGTGGCTTTAGAAGGGCAGTGAGGACGGCCTGAGAAGATGGCATCTGAGCAGACGCTGGCGTGAGGCGGGAGAGGCCACGCGGCTCTCTGGAATAGAGTGCTGCGGACCGGGGCGGTGGGGGGGGGCAGCCGGGGCAAAGGCCCTGGGTTTGGGGTATCAGCAGGGCCACTCGAGACAGGGCCTTGGGCCTTGAGGGGACAGGATTACTTAGACTATGATCACCCCTGTCCCCCACAGGGGTTGGAAACGGAGGCTAGGAGAGGCCAGGTGTGTCCTCTGTACAACACTGTCAGCCTCCCGGCGCCCCCGTTGCCTGCGTGTATCTGGCAGGAGAGGTAGAGACGAGAGACGGAGGTTGCTTCGCTGAGCATGTACCTCGTGCCGGGCTCTGGGCCAGGAGAGGTGCTGTGCCCCGTCCTCGGGCACCCCGTTACGACACGTGAATTGTGTTCCCCCAAATTCACATGTTGAAGTCTCCCAGGACTCAGCAGGTGAGCTGGTTTGGAAAGAGGGTCATTGCGGAGGTCATTGGTGAAAAGGAGGTCATCATGGTGGCGTACGGTGGCTCCCTGACCCAAGAAGACGGGTGTGTTTTATAAAAAGGGAAAATTCAGACACAGAAACACGAGCGCAGGGAAGACTCCAGGGAAGATGGAGGCAGAGCTCGGGGTGAGGCAGGCATGAGCCAAGGAACGCCAAAGATCACCAGCGAACCCCCAGGAACAGATTCGCCCTCACAGCCTCAGAAGGCCCCGGCCCTGCCGACACCTCGCTTGGACCTCCGGCCTCCAGGCTGAGACCGTGAACTCCTCCTGGGGAGGCCTCCCGGTTTGAGCAGCTCTGCTTGGCAGCCTGAGCAGAGACGCAACCTCGGACGGGCACCTGCTCCCGGGAAGGGCTGGGCTGGGGCCACAGGAGGAAGCTCATCTGCATAGCTGGGGGCGGGGCCCGAGGTGAGGGTGGTGGGGCCTGGCATCCCCCCGGGCAGGGGACCCTGAGGACCTCCTGGCCTGGCTGAGCCCCCCTCGCACCCCTCAGCCCCGACCCCACCATCTGCAAAGCAGACTCCCTGCCCACCTGTCTGTGCCAGGTGAGGCCCCCGGCCCCCGGGAGGATGGTTTCGGAGTTGAACGCACAGTGCAGGGATTTGCTGCCAGACCAGACGTTTCTGAAAGAAGAGACGGCGGCAGATGATGCCCAAAGAAACGAGCCCCTCTGCGTGCCCAGGCTGTCCCGGCACCTGCTCTGGGCCCTGGGAGCCAGCTGGCAGCTGCCCTGCCCTCCAGAGCTCGCAGGCTGGTCAGGGAGGGCAGAGGCGACACCACCCTGGGTCCCAGGGCAGCTCTGAATGCTTCTTTCCTGGGGACAGAGTTAGGGCTGCAGGCAGCAGAAAGGAAAGCCACTCGGGCCACTCAGAGGTCGGAGACTTGGGAGCGCACAGCCAGGGCAAGACTCAGGGCCAAACGCACAGCGCCCATGGCCTCGCCCTGGCCCGGGGCCTCCGTCTCCTCCCCGGCAGCATGGCCTTTGCGGCAGGACCGGGAACGTCAGGGGCTGTCCTTGTGAAGTCTGGTTTGCCAGAACAAGGAAAGGGACCGTCAGGATTGGAAAACGCCCTGAAACGCAGGCCCCTATCACCAAGCTGACGCCAGCTGACTCATCTCTTCCGCCAGGAGGGGCCCCTCCCATCACCTGCAGGCCCCTCTGCTCCCACCTCCGCCCTGCGCGTCCCCGGGGGCTGTACGCGGCTTGGCGGCTCCGAGTCTGGGCCTCCTCCCGGCCTCTTTCAGGCCCTCCTGGGAGGACGAGCCGAGGCCAAGCCCCCAGGAGTGCTCGGAATGGATTTGTCCCGGGGAGTCCGACGGATGAGCCCTGGGAAGCGCCGTGAGAGTGGAGAAGGAGGGGCCTGGAGACGCCTCCCCTGTGCGCCAGGCCACAGCCGGGGAAGGCGAGACCCAGGGACGGTTGAAAGAGGTCCCCAGACTTCTGTGACTGGGGGTCCAAGAGCTGGTGGGTTTGCTGAGAGAATGAGGAGGATCCGTCTCCGCCACAGGCCTGGCCCCGCTTCAGCTACTCTGACTCCCTACAAAGCCCTGAGTGTACTGGCGGATGTTGGGGGGCGGAGGGGGCTGTTGCTCACCCCTGAGGGGACACCCTCCCTTCATCCCCAGGAGTCCAAATCCTGCACCACTTTAGAAGCTGCTCCAGTGCCACCTCCTCCAGGAAGCCTGCCTTGATTCTCTCAGCTGGAAAAAGTTTGCCCCTCCACTGAGTCCTTGAGTGTTGCATCTGTTTCTTCACTCGTGTTAATTCATTTATTCATTCACTTATTCTCTCAGCACCCACTTGCTGATCTGTACTCTGGGCCAGGCCCTGGGCTGGCCTCTAGGAACACAGAGGAAGTGAGTCCCTGCCCTCAGGGGGCACAGGCAGGGGTGCCCTCAGCGGCTCCCCATGATGCAATTCGTCCCAGGACCTCTTCTACCAGGCCACGAGGCTCCCGGCCAGGGCTGACCCTCAGCCCCACCATCTGCTGAGCGGACCCCTCCCTCTGCCTTCCCAAACCCAGGGTCCGGGGCTAGAGAGGCCTTTATGCCCCTGGGGGCAGTTCCAGAGACGAACGCGCATGACGGACACGTGCTGTGAGACAGCCCGGGTCTGGGAAGGGACAGTGTGCAGCCTGCAGCCGGGGGCTGGGGCTTAGGAGGTGCAGGGACCGGGTGGGAATCCCGGCCTGAGGCACAGCCCACAGTCATGTGGTTTGCACACTGCAGGTGTCCCCACCACAACGCGCTGTGGTTGCACTGGTCCCGTGTCCATCCTGGGCTTCCCTTGGGGGGTCTGTTCAGCATCCATGGCCTGGCTGTGCCCCCCAACCCCCAGGAGTCTGGCCTGAGGTGGGTCAACGTGCAATCAAAGCTACAGCCCCGTATGCTAGACAGAAGCCCCGGGGCACGTGGGGAACTCTGGATGAAGGGGTCAGGGGGCTTCTGCCGGAGGCGGGAGGGGCTGCCCTTACTCCGCAGGTCCCCAAGGCAGCTCAGGGCCAGAACTGCAAGCTGAATCCTCAGTGGAAAGAAAAGCCCTCCGTATGTCACGAGAAGTTACCCAAGTAAAAATTCCATTTCTAATGATCTGAGACAGGGAAGCTTAGAAGCCAACCGCCCCATTCCAAGCTAGGTCAGAAAGCTGCATAGGAAACCTCCCCGGGACTTGGGGACCGGCCAGCTGCTGTGATCCAGGTCAGGATTCCACAAGGTCCCCAACCTCATGGCCACAAGTTTAACGGCACCGATGTTCACAAGGCCAAAGCCATCACCTCGGGTCCCTCTGTGGGGTGTGCAGAGGGAGGCCTGGGCTGTGGGGCTGTGATGATGATGATGTGAGTGGAGGGACCCGGGCTGTGGGAGCTCTGATGACGATGTTGTGTCACACCACTGGGCACCATTACCTGAGAGGTCCTACTCATGAGGTCTGTGGACGCCGCTCTGGCAGCCCACGTCCAGTCCTGGAAGGG